CTTTTTTAGTGGTTTTATTATGACCAACCTACTGGGTGTGAAATGTGACTCATTGTGGTTTTGATATGCGTTTTCCTAATGACTAATGACATTGAGCATCTTTTCACGTGCTTGTTGCCCCTTTGTATAAGTTTGGGGAGAGGTCTATTCACATGTCCTTTGCTTATCTTTTGGTTGGGTTGTTTGTTTTCTTGTTCTTGAATATTTAGAGTTCTCAAAATATTGTAGGTTCTAGACCCTTATTTGATATTCGATTTGCAAATTTTTTATATTTTTTAGTTTGTTTCTTCACTTTTTTGATACTACCCTTTGATTCGCAAAAGTTTTTATAATGATACAGTTCAGTTTGTCTGTTTTTCTTTTTGTTGCTTTTGCTTTTGGTGTCATATGTAAGAATATTGTCAAATCCAAGATCATAAGGATGTACCTCTATATTTTTTCTGAGTTTTATAGTTTTAGTTCTTATATTTAGGTCTTTAATCTATTTCGAGTTGTTACATATGATGTAAAATAGGAATCTGACTTCATTCTTTTGCACATGGACTTCCAGTTTTTAGCACCATTACCTGAAATGTACTATTCTTTTCCCATTTAATATACTAAGTAACTTTTTCAAGAATTAGTTTTTTATATGATTATATGATGTATGGGTTTATTTCTGGTTTATTTGTCTAATGTTATGTCAGTATCAAAGTGTTTTGATTAATGGTGCTTTGTTTGGCGCTCTTTGAAATTCCATTTACTTTTCACATCTGCAAGAATTTTCTGTGAAAATTTTAATAGCGTATGCATCGTAAGTGTAAATGAAACTGGTTTCTCAGTTTCTCTTTTGGATTTGATAATTGCTGGTTTATGCATGCTGATCTTACACACTATAACTTTTCTGAATTTGCCAATTGATGTTTTCCTTTTCTTTATTCTGCTCCTCTGATACGTACTTTCAGTTGCCTTATTTTCTTGTGTCCCTGGTTAGTGGATACTAGGGAACAGGGTAAAAGCTTATTTGGTGTCTGTATGTTTTGGGGGAGCACGTACCATTCCCATCATGGGGCGTGCATGCTGCTGATGTTATAGAGAGCTTTCTCATCAGCCTACCCATGAGGAAAATTAAGATTGTCTTGCTGTGTCCCTGGGAAATGGTCAAGGCTTTTAAAAAGAGAGAAAGTAGAGAACAAAAGGATATGTCAGGCGCATACAGAATTGTTATCGGCCGATAGTGTGACTCCTTTATGAATGTGTGACTTTCCGAAAACTCTTACTTTAAAGATTTGTCTTTTTCTATGAGGCTTTGTATAAGAGGCTTTTCCCCCCACATATAAGTAGAGTTTTTAGTTCTATCAAGTCTTGTTCACTCAACTCTATAAACAGCCTGCATTGCATTTGTTTTGTGTACTTCTATTGAAGGCTTTCCGCAGGAAGAGTCTCAGTTGTGACCTTGTATGGATGCCAGTGAAATGATGAGAATTCAAGTTTCTAGTGCACCAGTAACTGTAATGAGCTGCTAATTGAAGGTGACAAGCTGTTTTTTCCTTCCCAGCTGGTCTAAAAAAATGTTAAATTTCATTCATTATTAACTCTTTGCTTCTCAGCAGAGGGCTGGTTTAATTAGTTGGGCACATTAAGAAAATAATTTTTGCCTTGTCTTAATTTTAGAGATTGAAGTTCAGGTTTTACTGGCAATCATATACAGTTCTGTAAGTACCCAACATAAGCAAGACAAAGCTACGTTTTATCACCCCCCAAAGTTCCTTATGCCACTTTGTTCCTTATTTTTCCCTCCTTTCCTGGACCCTGGAAACTACTAGTATGCTTCCTATTATAGTTTTGTCTTCCTACCTTTTCACTGGACTCATACAGTATGTAAACTTTTATATCTGGCCTTTTTTAAAACTTCGTAATGGTTTTGAGGTTCATCTTAATCTGTGTTGTTATATGGATAATTTGTTCTTTTAAATTGCTGAGTCTGTTGTATCAATATGTCACAATATATTCATTCACCTATTTATTAATATTTAGCTGTGTTTCTCATTATAAATAACAAATTACAAAAATTTTGAGGAACCCTTACACTGCTTTCCACAGTGGCTGCACCAATTTATATTCCTACTAACAGTGCACGAGGGTTCCCTTTTCTCCACATTCTTGCCCACATTTATTAAAATTTTTTTTAATTTATTGATTTTAGAGAGAGAGAAATAATGATTTGTCATTTCACTTATTTCTACATTCAGTGTTTGATCTGTGTATGTGCCCTGACTGGAGATCGAATCTGCAACCGTGGTGTATCAGGATGATGTTCTAACCAACTGAGCTACCCATCCAGGGCCAAATTTATTTTTTCTTCTTTTATTAATTAAAATTTTTTCAATTACAGTTTACATTCAGTGTTATTTTGTATTGTTTCAGGTGTACAGCATAGTGATTAGACAACCATATACTTTACAAAGTGTTCCCCCTATAGTTCTGGCACCCACCTGTCAGCATACATAGTAGTACAATATTATTGGGTATATTTCCTGTGATGTACTTCATATTCCCATGACTCTTTTGAAAATAGCAATCTGTACTTATCAAGCTCTTCACTTTTTGCACCCAGTTCCCCAAATATCCTCTCCTATGGCAACCATCAGTCTGTTCTTCGTATCTGTGAGCGTGCTTCTATTTGGTGTATTCATTTACAGGTGTATTATTCTTTAGATTTCACACATAAGTAAAATCATATGGTGTTCGTCTTTTTAAAAAACATTTAAAAATTTTTTTTAATTAGTTTACTTTTAGAGAGAGGGGAAGGGAAGGAGAAAGAGAGGGGAGACATATCAATGCATGAGAGATACATAGATCGGTTGCCTCTCACGCACCCCTAACTGGGACCCAGCCTGCAATCCAAGCATGTGTCCTGACTGGGAATTGAACCAGCCATGTTTTGGTTCTCAGGGCGATGCTCAATGCACTGAGCCACACAAGCCAGGGCTGGTGTTTATCTTTTTTGACTGACATATTTTACTTTGCATAATAGCCTCTAGGTCACCATGCTGTTGCAAATTGTAAGATTCCATTCTTTTTATGGGCAAGTAATATTCCATTGCATTACATCTACCACTGCTTTTTCACCTGTCTGTTGATGGACACTTGGGTTGTTTTCATATCTTGTAAATAACGCTGCAATGAACATAGGGGTGCATATGTTCTTTTGCCTTAGTATTTTGTGTTTCTTGGTTATATACTCAGAATGAAATTCTTGGGTCATAGGCAATTCCATTTTTATTTTTAATTTTTTGATAATAGACATTCTGACAGGTGTGAGGTGATATTTCATGCAACTGTAATCACTGTAGCTCACTAAGTCCCACACATGTAAAGTCCCCTGATCATGTTTTGCATCTTTTCGCAAAAATTGTAAAATTAGTCTTTCATTGTTGAATAGTATGATAACAGCAGACAGTTTTACTTTGTTCATAATCTTTTGGGGAAAGTGTTTACTCTTGCATCTGGGTTTCTTGTAGAAGCCCTTCATCAGGTTAAAGAAGTTCTCTTCTATTAACGGCCTTCCATTCCTGGGATAAACCTAATCCAGTTTTGTATTGTTGAATTTGAGTTGTATTTTGTTGAGGAATTTTTATGTATATTCACGAGATGTAGATCTGTTAAAGTTTATCTGTAGTTTCTTATAAAGTATTTGTTTAGTTTTCAGGGGTTAGTGGCCTCATAAAATGAGTTGGAAAGTGCCTCCTTTCCTACACCTTCTTAAAGAGTTTGTGTAGGCTGTCTAAACTTTTTTTGCTTAAATGGTTGATAGAATTTGCAAATTCTATTTTCACTGGTTTTACTTGTTCTTTTTCTAATTTCTAAAAATGCAAACAGTAATATCTCTGTTCTAGTGTCAAAAAACAGTGTCTTAATAAGTATACCATTACAATATGCCTTCAGTGGAATACATATTCATATACATTTTAGAATAAGGTCTCATTCTTGGTAGATTTTTGATTAGGGTTGAACTCTATCAGTTTAGAAAGTCTGTCAGCCTATGGTATTATATATTTCCATTTATTTTGGTCTTGTTCTTTTTTTGTGTAAATATATTGAAATTTTTCTTAGATTTATTCTAGGGTATTCAGGATATTAATATATTCAATACATGATATTGTTTTAAATTTTCATTTTGTAACTGTACTGGATTTATAAAAATGAGTGCTATTGTATCTAATGACTTTGGTTAATTCATGTATTATTTTTAATTCTAGTGTAGAATTGGGTTTTTATTTAACACAATCAGGTTATCAGCAAATAATGACAGTTTTATTTCTTCCTTGTAGTAATTTCTTTTTGTGCCTTATGTTCAGGACCTTCCAAACTATGTTGAATCGAAGTGGCAATAATAGGTATTCTTGCCTAGTTTTTTATTTTAGGGTGAAAGCGTTCAGTATTTTACCATTATGAATAATTACTAGTTTTTTGTTTGTTAGTTTAAAGGTTGTTAACCTTTATCAGATTAATGAATAGGCTTTTAATTTTATCGTCTTTTCTGCTTTATTATAATCTTAGGATTTTACTTTTTTTTTTTAATTTTACTTATTTATTTCAGAGAAAGAGCGGGAGGAAGAGAGGGAGAGAAGTATCAATATGTGGTTGCCTCTCGCGAATCCCCAAATGGGGACCTGGCCCGCAATCCAGTCATGGGCCCTGACTGGGAATCAAACCAGCAACCCTTTGGTTTGCAGGCCAGTGCCCAATCCACTGAGCCACACCAGCCAGGGCCCTTTTCTATGGTAGTAAATTAGTGAATGAGTTTTACTAGTTTTCCTTTCTCTAATTTTGCATTCCTGAGATGAGATAATATATCCTTGACTGGGATATATTATCTTTTTTTAAACAACTCAAATCAATTTTCTTATTATTATAAGAAGTCTTAAGATTATTTTCATAAGAAAGTATTAGAATTTACTGGCCATCCTACCTCTTGAAAAATAATGGCATTTTTATTTCTTTCTTATTTTTTTTAGTACTAGCCCACCTTACTGTTGTGTGGATCTGTATTCACTTCGTACCGGGGAGATGGTCAAGTCCATTCAGTTTAAAACTCCTATCTACGATCTTCATTGTAACAAACGGTAAGCATTTTTCATGTGTTTCTTGTGCAAGCTAACATGCCTCCTGAGCATGTAGAGCTCTACCAGTATCATTGACTATCTTTGATTTATCCAAAAAAAGTTGCAAGAACACTGTCTAAATTGTGCTAAATGGAGTAGTTCTTAAGATTTCTTTTTTTTAAAGATTTCTTAATGAATATTTTCAAATTTCCAGTCTTGACCCATTACTGAATTGTGAATTAAGTTTGGTGAATCATAACTAGAGTTTTAAAAATGAAATGGAAAAGAATAGAAAGTATCTGAGCAAAACATGCAAAGGCTACGAGAAATGATTTATGTATTACGTAATTTTTTGATATAATGTGTGTCTCTGTGTTTACTGGTTTATGATATGAATATAATTTTCCTTTTAGCATTTGCCAAAACAAAGCATATCTGAACTACAAAAAATGCTTTTTTCCTCATTCCTTAAGACTACAATTGAGCTAACACAGGAACTCAGTAGGATTCTCTAGGAAAATTTTCAGACCTTGGTTGAGCTTCTACCTGACCTAGTAATAATGAAGAATTACTTTATGTAAGTACAACACATGGAAGGAGAAAGGGACATTAAGAATCTTCTGTTAGTTAACACTTTACTTGTACATTTAAACTGAACCCCTACAGTGGTGTCAATGCAAACTGTAATTCTTTCATTACATTGGAAAGTAAACATGTAGAACATTGAAAATGAACTATTTTATGTTATGCCAATATAAAGTAAATTTTATAATAAAAGCCTCAGATTAGATTTTTAAAAAATATTTTATTTATTTATTTTTAGAGTGAGAGAGGACGGGTGGGAGAAAGAGAGTGAGAAACAGCATGCCCCCAACTGGGGACTTGGTCTGCAACCCAGGCAAGTGCCCTGACTGGGAATTGAACCAGCGACCATTCAGTTCACAGGCCGGCACTCAATTCACTGAGCCACACCAGCAGGGGTCTTGGGTTAGATTTTAAAGGGGTATTTCAAACAGTGACTCAGAAAGGTTGAACTTAATTGTAAGGTTAGACATACCTGATAAATACAAACTAACAAGCACATAGGCTTTGATGCTAGTGATAAATGTGTTTGAATTGAAACAGGACAAAGAAAAGGTATTCTGTGATAGTATATAATTCATAATGAAGATCAAATTATTATGCATATTTAAAATTCAGTAATATCACTCTCAAAATTATAGGAAATAGGAGAAATATTGCTAGGATAATGTTGTTATCCAGTGAGATACTAAATTATTCAAAGTCATCACTATTGAATAGCTGGGTCCAATAGATGTTATATTGAACCAGGAAAACTGTAATGAAAGCTCTTCTTTTTGTGTGTCACAGCATGGATTACCTATTTTTCTTTAGCCAAAGAGAATCTTGAACACATTCAAAAGGGAGATAAGTACACATATTTGTTTGTATTATAAAAACATAAATATGCTAGAAAAAAGAAAAAAGTGAAGTTAAATTTTTAAAAAGATATTTCTTACATTATCTTAAAAAATTGCTACAAAGAATATGAAGGAGAGAATTGGGTTTTTCTCCACTCTGTACTTGTTCCCAGTGCTGTGTTTCTGGGTGATGCACATGGAAATAGTTAGGTACGGCTTTTCTTAAAACGAATATTTCTGTGTTTGTGTTTAAAAATTTTGGCCATGAAATAATAAATGTATTCATATTTTAACAAATATAAATACTTTTGAAAATTAAAATGGTTGACTTTTCATAGACAGTGTGCTCATTATAACTAACTAATGATTCTGAAATTTCTGAGTAGGAGTTACAGAAGATAGGAGAGTGGTATATGAATATGAAATGTCATCAGTGGAAAGTAGATATGAAATTCTAGGATATTTGGTTGATGTTGCAAAGGTTCATATCTTACTTGTATTTTTTTTTTAAGAAAAACTACATGAAGATGTGTTCTAACAAAAAACCTCTTGATTTGGATACATTATGTAATTGTTTGAATTGATTTTCACATTAGAAATTGTGTAAGTTCAAATGGGATGAAGGTTAGGGGAAAAGGTATGATGTGAATTTAAGAATACTGCTTAGATTTTGCTTCATACAAAGCCGAATTTGAGCCCTGGCTGGTGTGGCTCAGTGAATTGAGTGCTGGCCTGGGAACCAAAGGGTCGCTGGTTCGATTCCCAGTCAGGGTACATGGCTGGGTTGCAGGCCATGACCCCCAGCAACTGCACATTGATATTTCTCTCTCTCTCTCTCTTTCTCCCTCCCCTTTCTGAAAGATAAATAAATAAACTCTTAAAAAATATTTATAACTGAATTATTTTCCTAATTATTTATAAATCTTGGGCTCTGGGAGAAATATAGTTTATACAGAGTCTGATTAAATTTTAATATATTGAGTCTATCAGAAATGACTCGTTTACACACAACTGTAGTTGTCTGAGTCTTCTTTCTCTCTTTTTTGCTTTTGTGTTGGGAAATTCAGTGATACTTTTAAGTGACAAGTTATATAAATCCATTTTATGTATAATTCCATGACTTTGAGCCAGCAGTGGAAAAACACTTTTAGTAAATAGCCAGTAGTGTATTGATCTCATACATTCTTAATGAAGATAGATTTATTTGATTTATAATGAGTGAAGGTGTAGTTTGTTCTCTGTCATTCTTCTTCCTCTAATGTCCATCTTGATTTTTTAAAGTTTTGATGATAGACACTTGTTTAAATCTAGATGATTTACCTTTTTGTGATTTAATTTATAGAATTTCACACTCATGTTTTCTTTTATGTGTTTTTCTCTTTAATTTTAGGATCCTCGTTGTAGTATTGCAGGAGAAAATAGCTGCCTTTGATAGCTGTACTTTCACAAAAAAATTTTTTGTCACAAGTACGTACCAACTTGATGTATTTTCTATCGTAAGCATTTGAGTTTATAGTATTTACTCATTAGAATCAGCAAACTAATTGTTATAACATCATTTTCATAATATTAAATTATTATGATATTTCTTTGCTTCGTGGATGTCTTCTTCAGGACTCTAATTTTATAGTGTTTTATTTCAAACCACATTTTCCACATATTACTAAGCAAGACTTGTACAATATTGCCTCAGTTTCTTCTTATATATTTTCCTTGAGTTGCTGTGATTAACTTAGGTTCATAGAACTGTGTTGTACTTTCAGAACAGTTGTTTAATTTTCGTAGCATGCTTAAGGTAACTGTATTGTCTTACATGAGATATTTGAAAATGGATAAAATGCGTGAGCATGGCTCTTTCCCTCCTCCTTTCTCCCACGTCCCGTTACTTCTACTGTTTCCCCAAAGTTCAAAACTAAGCATAGAATCTGGATCTGAACACACATACATGGGGAGAGAGAGAGATTGAGACTTTTTTTTCTTTTAAGGAAAACTGGCTAGTCTAGTATTGGTAGGACATGCTGGAAGAATGGAAACTCCAGCAGGAATTGATTCTGAATGAAGTCTGAAGTTTATAATACTATAGTCTAATAAAACAGTAGTTTTCACTCTTGTTTTTTATGTTTCAACCTCGACAACTCACTGTTGAAACTACAGCAGGTTTTCCAGAGTTGATACATATATGCTCACACAGAATTCTGTTGGAACAGAACAGATCTCAGTTTTGTTGTGACCAGAGAATCCCAGTCATATTGCTGCATCTCCTGAAAAGCCACACCTATTTGCAGTGCCTTACACTGTGACTGGTTTTGCAGGTATTCTCCTAGACTGTGGGTGAGAGTATAAACTGGCATAAACTCTATAGGAGGCAATTTGATGAAATGTACCAAAGTTTAGATTGTATCAACACTGATCCACTAAAGCATTATTTTTATTAAATTATTTTAATTTATTTTTTATAAAAGTATATTGACATACAATGTTATGTTAGTTTCAGGTATAGAAATAGTGATTCAACATTTATATAACTTATGTGGATTGCTGTGATGTCTGTGAACCTTCTGTCACTGTACAAAATTATTACAGTATTATTGACTGTATTCCCTATGCTGTACATTATATCCCTCTGACTTACTCATTTTATTACTGGAGGTTTGTACCTCTTATTCCTCTTCACCTATTCCATCCATTTTCTCCTCCCCCTTTACTCTATCAGCCATCAGTTTTTTCTGTATCTCTCAGTCTGTTTTTTTAAAATTCTACATATAAGTTAAATTATATGGTATTTGTCTTTCTCTGACTTATTTCACTTAGCATAATATCAATGTTGTCACAAATAGCAAGATTTTATTGTTTTTATGGCTAAGTAATAGTCCATCGTGTGTGTGTGTGTGTATATTACATTATCTTTATCCATTTATCTATCAATGGACATCCAGGTTGCTTCTATGTATCGGCCTTGGTAAATAATGCTGCAGTGAACATAGGCTGCATATCTTTTCAAATTAATGTTTTCATTTTTTAAAAAATAAATGCTCAGCCTTGGCTAGTGTGGCTCAGTGGATTGAGTGCCTACCTGTGAACCAAAGGGTCACCAGTTCAGTTCCCAGTCAGGGCACATGCTTGGGTGAGGACCAGGTCCTTAGTGAGGGCACACAAGAGGCAACCATACAGTGCTGTTTCTCTCCCCCTTCTCTCTCTCTCTCCTTTCCATCTCCTTCTCTCTAAAAATAAATAAATAAATAAAATCTTTAAAAAAAAAGAAGTTAAAAAAAAACAAATGTCCAGAAGTAGAATTGCTGAGTCTTATAGAAGTTCTAGTTTAAATTTTTGAGGAACTGCCATACTGTTTTTCATAGTGGCTGAACCAATTTACAACCCCACCAGCAGTGCATGAGAGTTCTCTTTTCTTCACATTTTGTCCAACTTGTTTGTTGACTTTGGGAAAATATCTGTTCAGGTCCTCTGTCCATTTTTTAATCGGAGTACTTAGTTTTTTGTTGTTGAGTTATGTGAGTTCTTTATATATTTTGCATATTAGTCCCTTCCTGGAGTATTGTTCGCAAATTTCCTCTCTTCTTTTGTTGGCGTCTTTTTGTTTTGTTGGTGGTTTCTTTTGCTGCAGAATCTTTCTAGTTTGATGTAATCCCACTTATTTATTTATTTTTGCTTTTATTTTCCTTGTTTTTGGGGGGTCAGATTTATAAAGTCTTCTCTGAGACCAAGATCTGTAGGTTTAGTACCTGTCTTTTGTTCTCTATGTTGTATTGTTTCAGGCCAGTTTTTAGGTCTTTGATCCATTTTGAGTTAATTTTTGTGTACGGGGACAAATAGCTGTGTAGTTTCATTCTTTTACATGTGGCTTTCCAATTTTCCCAGGACCATTTATTGAAGAGGCTTTCTTTTGGCCTTTGTGTGTTTTTGCATCTTTTGTTGGAAATCAGTTGCCCATATACATATAGGTTTGTTTCTGAATTCTCAGTTCTGTTTTGTGGATATTGTTTTGGTCATGTACTAACATGCATTTAATTTCTAAAATACTTTTAAAAACTCTTGTGTAATACAATTGTGAGTACCTTAGTTATGTATGAATCAGGACTGTAAAATTAGTAGAGACAGCTGTGCCAATCAAAGAAAGCATCTTGGGAATTTGTGCCAAAGGGTAGAAGGATCAGGTAAAGGGAGCTGATAGATAACTTGGAAGGGAACGCAGCCAATATGATGAGAAAGGAGACACCTTTGTATTTGGCTGTACAGAAAAGGTGGCCTTGAGCAGCTGTCTGATGTGGAAATCCAAACCCGTGTATGATTAAGAAAACAAAAGACAAAGACTGATAGATGTCATTAGCAGTCATTTTCACTGTGCTTAAATTGAAAGGTAGATATGAAGTCTCTAGAGAGACCAAGGGATTATACAGGCAGTAAGTAACTCATTCCATTTCCCATTTTTACCTTGAGGAGGAAAAGAAATGCCTTATAGTCCTAATGTTATTTCTTAGTATTAGTATTAGTATGTATTATTCATCTATGTTAATGATGAATAAGAAATGTAAGGGATTATTTTAAAGGATATTTAAAGTGCAAAATTATTTTTAATTTTTGAAAGAGGAGGCTTTTTATGTTTAGAAACAAATTTATAAAATTTTAAAAAAGGGTTTGGAAGGTTAACGTGAGATCTAAGCCCAGTTCAAGTTAAGTCAAATCTATTCCTGTTCTTTTGGTTACCCATTTGTATACAATGTTCTTTTGGTTGCCCATTAGTATACAATTTGTATAGTAGGCTGCCATGTTTTCACAGCCTGGTCAGGTGCCTGACACTCGTGGGCACTCGGTGAATGTGTGCAATGAACTGACTTATGAATTTCCTAGCCACTGTCCCTCCATCCAACTCATTCAGCCTTATAGTGTCAGTACTCTTTAATTCATGATATTTCATAAACATGAAAAATAAAACAAAAATAAATAAAAGGTTGTGGAACTTTAAGAAGGTTATTAATCAGTTGTAAGATGGTCAAACAAATCTCTGAAGTGTTGCATATTATTTTTTGTGCTTATACATCTTTCTGTAGAGCATGCTCAGTCTTTTCTAGATTTCATACAATATGAGGGGGTACCCCCCAAACCAAATTTATTTATAAAAAATTGTGTATTTATTCTTACACATTCAAACTTCAGTTACCTTCAAAGTACTCTCCATTTGATACAATACACCTATTGAAATTTTTTTTCACAGCTCAAAACAGATTTTGAACTTGTTGATTTTGATGCCTTTTTAGTGCTTTTCCTGTTTTATGTTTTACCTCTTCCACATTGGGTTGCTCAGGTTAAGGTCTGGTGAATAGGGAGGGTGGGACACCAGGGTCATGCTGATTTTGGTCAGAAACTGCTGAACACTCAGTGCAGTATGGAAGGGTGCACTCATAAATTACCCATCATGAAATGGGCAAATGCACTGAGAAAGTCTTAAAAAAAAAAGTGACCTGAAGAAGAATGTAGACTCTCACAACCGTGCCAGCTAGTACACTGATACAGATGGATCACTCACCTAGTGGGGGAAGCCTGTAGTATAAGGCACCTGCCCTCCAGAGGATAATTCCAGTTGTTCTGGGGTCCCCCCTCCTGTACCACTATAGAATAAGAAGTGGTTTTGGTGAATTATCTTTTTTCTTTTTGAGTGGTGTCCTTTGAGACACAAAAGATTAGTTTTGATAAAGTCCAATTTATCTATTTTTTCTTTTATCACTTGTTATTTTTGGTGCCATATCTAAGAAAGCATTGTCTAACCTAAGGTTATGGATATTTACCACTATATTTTGTTACAAGAGGGTAATAATTTTGACTTTCTAAGACTTTGATGCATTTATAGTTAATTTTTTAAAAATGTATCGATTGATTGATTTTAGAGAGGGAGAGGGAGAGAAATACTGATTTGTTGTTCCATTCATTCGTACATTCATTGGTTGATTCTTGTATGTTTTCTCTCTGGAGAACAAACTTGCAACCTTGGCGTATTGGGACAACACTCTATCCAACTGAACTACCTAGCCAGGGCCTTAGAGTTAATTTCTGTATGCTGTGTGAGATGAAGGTTCAGTGTATATTTTTTTGCATGTGGATATCCTTTTGACCCATCATCATTGTTGAAAAGACTGTTTTTCTCCATTGACATGTCTTGGCATCCTTGTTGAAAGTCATTGAAAACTGTATTTGAACAATGATTAAAATTAAAAAAAAAAAAAAGAAAGTCATTGATCATACATGCAGACATCTGGGTTTTTTTCCTTTTCAAAAAGGTCTCAAGTCTTTGAGTAGTTCTTACCAAGAAAAATAAGCCAGTGTTACAGAGAATGGTTAAATCTTTGGTTTTTCAAAATGAGTTCAGGTCAACTCTCCATTTGGACCAAGGTTCTGGGAGGATGCCATCTAAATTGTATCAGTCTCATGTGTGTTGTCTTTTACTTTGTTCACAAACATTATAAACATGTTAGAATTAGTCTGAGTATTAGAGTGGTTTGCCTTTTTTTTTTCCTTCACTTGTTTTCAAAGTTTAGCTGGAGGCAGCAGTTAATCTTTAAAGGAGTCATGCTTATAAAGTTGGGACAGTGCTGAGTGGCTGATGTTCTGTTGATTCCAGCTGTAAAATGTTTTCAGAAGAGCACAAAAGCAATTAGCTTTTATTCCAATATGCTGTAATTCTTGAGGTCCGCTGATTTCTAAAAACATTGACTCAAAAAGTAAAATGAAAAATTGTTAACTATATTTTTACATAGTATCCTTTTATTAGAGAAAGGAGAATATATTTATTAGGATGTAGTGAGGCAAAGTAGTTATCAGAATTGAGAATTAGATTATGTTGACTTTAAATTTCAGGAAATTAGCCACCTTTTATGTAATGCCACAGTACACAAGTATTTATTCTGTTTTTTTTATTCACAACATTTAAATGGGGGAACTTTCTTATAGACCATATTTATACTCATTTCTCTAGCTCTGAAAATATCTGTGGAATATAAGTGTATATAAGTACATTTTTATATGAGTAAGATTAGTTTACTCAATGGGATATAATAATGATATCTGTTATCTAAATACTGGTAACTTTAGTTTGATCCTCTAATGTACATTTTAGAGAAACATATCTGTGAAAATTTTAACCAGATTCTTTTCAAATGATAAACCAGCAGTCCTTTAGGCTAGGTCTTTTGTGTTCTTTGATTATGAAGTATTTTAGTGGGCCCTTTTCCTGTGTGTTTGGCCATAATCAGCATTGGGTGAATATAATAATATCCCGGTTATGCAGAGGTCAATTTTCCAAAAACCCAAAATATCACAAAGACACCCCTTCAAACCATGAAATAAAAAGAGTTTTTTAAACAATATGTAAAAATTATAAAGCTCATCTTGTTTTTATTTTTTTTATATGGCATGTGGACTTTCTCTTAGGGTCATTGCCTTTGTTTAATAAGTATTTTAACCTTTGAAAATGAAAACTCAGAATAGATGGGGCGGGTGCAGGAGGTGAAATGACAGCTGCTGTGTAATGGAAGCAGCATCAGTGTGTGCTTCTTCAGTGCTGTGAACACAGCACTGCCCAGATTCCGAAATGATGACCACTGCTGCTCAAGGCTGTCTGAACTCAGGGAGCCATATAATGTATGTTGAAGAAAGATTTCTATTAAATATGGCTTTCAGACAAAATATCTGGCTTTTAGCCGAGCACACAATTTGAATATTTGAAAAATGTTCTTTTGTAGATAACTTTTTATTTGCCAATGCTTTAGTTTAGGTACATTGTTTAATTCAAATATCTTATTAACCTATTTTTTTAGGCATTGTTCTAGGCAGTGGAGATTCTGCAGTGAACAAAAAAAAAAGCACAAGTCATTGACTTTACATCTCTCTGATAAAGTGGGAGTGAGATAGAAAAAATCATAAATATATCACAGAACATAAAGTTATTTTTATTTTTGAAAGTATATGTCAAAGTAGTTAATTATTTTCTTTTTATTAATAAGTATGTTTTTGAATGAACTATCATACATTGATTATTCCTTTTAGGATCAATAACACATACTGGGACTTTCTGCTGGGTAGTGTATGTCTGAGCAGTGCAGTTTGCAGTGTGGAAAAGCAGTTTTTGCTACTATGCTTGTGTATTTCATGTAATTTGGCTAATTTTTTCCCATGAGAAGAAAAGTTATTGGTATAGAATCTTCTTTGCTTCATGAGTACATAAATTTACATTCCAAATTGAGACTTAAACTAAGAAATAGATAACCTCAGTTTGATCCTCTAGTGTAGATTTTAGAGAAGCACATTTGTGAGAATATTAACCAGATTTTGGAATGATAAACCGGGAGTCCTTTAGACTTTTTGCATTCTTTGATTTTGCAGTCTCTTTCAACTAAGTCCCCTTAAAAGCAGTTTTGTGAAAAGAGAAACAGATTCATAGATACAGAGAACAGACTGCTGGCTGTCAGAGGGCAGGAGTGTTAGGGGAGTGGGTGAAAAGGCGAAAGGACTGAGAAGTACAGATTGGTAGTTACAAAATAGCCACAAGGGCATACACAACAGCATAGGAAATATAGTCAATAATGTTATAATAGCTGTGTATGGTGCCACTTGGCTTCAGGAAATATCAGGGGGCATACTTTGTGAAGTGTATGATAGTCTAGCCACTGTGACATACACCTGAACCCAGTATAAAACCATACTGAATGTCAATTATAGCTGAAAAAAAATTAAAAAGAAGTTTTGTGAGACAGTGAGTATTACTTTGTGTAGTTGACAGATGAAGGTGATAGCCTGAAGAGACTTTATTGGCATAGCGAGGAGAGATGAGAGCCTCTAGGATGGCAGACATCACTTACTTGACTAAATTTTGTGTTTCTTGGTTAGTAGAGTTCAAGAAGAGGGCATTGGTGTTTCCATGCATGGCTGGTTTTCACTGTGAGGAATATGTGATTTGTCCTTGTTGAAATGAGAAAACCTCAAAATATTCCTTTCTACTATTTTGTTATTGGCTAGGCTGAGGACAAGAACAATTAAATTGAGTGCTCAGTGTCAATTCGTAGGATTATGTAAATAATTCCCTAACATCTTTTTATTGATGCACCTTTTGTGGATTACTTCTCTTTGACCCCATATTTAAATTCTTGTCCCCCCTCCTCGCCCCCATAGTATCCTCATTTCTTTTTAGGTGTTTGTCTTCCTTATCGTTTGCCCTTAAAGTCCTGAACCAACTGTATGCTTCCTCTTTCCTTTCCAAACATTATTGCTTGACTCATGAAGTTGTAGACTTATGAACTTGAAATGTTTCTTCTTAGCTTCTCTCTTGTTGTATGAATAACTGCGTAAAATGCCCCCCCCTTTTTTTTTTTGCAAAATGTCATTACCAGTTCTTCCCAGATTTGTTTCCTATTTGAAAAAAGTCAAAACCAAAGGGAAACTGTATAGGAGAAAATAAAGAACCTAATTTAGCTATTCAAATAATAGCTACCATTATTTGTGAAATTTGAAAAAATGAAATTTTATGTGAAATTTGAAAAAATGAAAGCATTTGTTTTGACTATTTCATGGGAAATTTTATGTGAAATTTGAAAAAATGAAAGCATTTGTTTTGACTGTTTCAGTGCCATCAGAATATGGTGCACAACAGAAAATTTATTAGGAAATTTCTCAGTATTGTTTTTTGAAATTTTCCAGGCTGCTATCCTTGTCCAGGGCCCAACATGAACCCTATTGCTCTTGGGAGCCGCTGGCTTGCTTATGCAGAAAACAAGGTAAGGCATGGCCCGCGTGTGGGTTATTGGCAATGGACAGGTGTTCTAGAATGTTTCCAAAATGATTACCAATCAGTATTGAACTTTTAATTTATGAGTTTGTTTTCTTTGATTTGGCTTTGATTTTAGTTGGACACCCAATAATTGTCTTATCTCCCTTGTTGCTTAAGATCAGTATTTAGACGGAACCTTAATTTTCTATGCTTAGTTTTATATAGAGAACTTTACTCCATTAATCTTAAAGCACAGCATTGGTGTTACAGAGCTGATTCTGTGGAGCTAGCAATCAGGAGTCAGGAATGATTTCTGTCTTTATTGGCGGATTGGGAAACTGGAGCACAGAATAATTTACTGTAACTATTTGTCTATAAGTAAAACTGTAAATGAGAGTTCAGAACATTTGTATTAATAATTAAATCACAGATGCTTACATTTTGTTGAATTTTCCAGTTATTGATCAATTTCAATTATCTATTAAGGTCATCATAGTAAGTGAAGATATTATATTTATATACTGAAAGTTTTATTTATGTCCAAATCGAAGCATAAGGTACATTTGAATTTTCAGAAGGAAAAAGTGGCCCTGGCCAGTGTGGCTCAGTTGATTGGAGCGTGGTCTCGTACACTGAGATGTTGTGGGTTCCATTCCCCATGAGGGCAAGGTTTTGAGTTGGATCCTCTGCTGGGGGGCTTATGAGAGGCAACTGATTGATGTTTCTCTGTTCCACTGATATTTCTCACACTTTTCCTCTTTATCTCCCTCTCCCCCTTTCTTGTCTCTCCCCCTGTATTTATATTTTCCTTTCTTTCCAAAGGATTACATAATAATATATGTGCTCTTTTGTACATTTTTTTCACTTACCAATATTTCCTGTTAGTCCATTTAGTAGAGTTTTGCACTATAGAAATTTCTAATTTATCTATAATTTTGAATTGAGATGCAAATATAATTTTCTAATGATTCTAAACTTTAAACAAAAATTTCTAGGTTAATTATGTTTATGTAGAAAAGCTGACTCAGAACTTAGTTGAATTGAAAATGTGACAGTATTGCTTGTTTTCACATATTTATCCATGATTATTATAATTACCTCGGGCAGAAAAAAGATGCTGTTTCCATGATAATGTCTTTCCTTGTGCTTGTGGGAGGAGGCAGTAGAGGGGTGGTTTTCGTAATTCTTTTGAATGTGAATGAATGAATGAATGAATGAGTGAGTGAGATTCTTTTTATTAACTGAAGCAGTCATTTTCAAATTCCCTGTTTTTCCTTATGTGAAGCCACATTTACTGATCACCTGTCCTTTGGAAAATTCCTCACTATTGACCTTGAAATCCACTTAAGCAACCATTCAATATAGCAACTTGACATCTGACATCAGACTTTTAAAAGTATTTCCTTTTAATATATGTATTGTTATTGCTTTGAGGGATTGTTTTAAAATACATTGTCAGTGAATTAGAAGATTTTGATTATTAAATAAAATAATAAGAGGTTTAAATACTAGTCTTTATCAAATTACCTGGTTTTAAATTATGTAAAGCATTTTTTGTTCTTGCATTTTGGGAGAGGTAGATTTATTCTGAATTCCAGGGCTTGTAAATATTCAAATCACAACATGGACCTGTTCTAATACTCTATTACTGCCATTTCGTTATAAGTTTGAATGTGCCTTGGCCCGGTGGCTCATTTGCTTGGAATATCATCTCTCTTATACACCAAAAGGGTGTGGGTTTGGTCCCCAGTCAGGTCGTGTATGGGAGGCAACTGGTTGCTGATTTTCTCTCCCTCTTTCTCTCTCCTTCTCTTTCTTGTTTAGAATTAATAAATATATCTTTGGTGAGGATTAAGAACAAATTAAAATGTAAAAATTTGTCTAATTATATATGTTTGTTTATTTATCTATTTTTACTAAATTTACAAAATGTAGGGACAGTGCAGAATTTAACCCGGGTTTATTGCTCAGCACATGTGAGAATCACGCTTGTCAAACTAGTGATTCACTTGGAACGTGGGCAGGTTGATTTATTTACATCAGCGACGAATGAGGGCATGTCTTTTTCAGTCTAACTAGTAAGCCCTCTGAGGTGGATAGCTACTACATGTGTCATTGCTGATCTGTGCATAACTTGTGCACCTTCTCCACTGGCACAGTTGAAAATGAAAATATAGCACAATCTTTTGTCTGTTTTTTCAAGTTTCCTTTTGCAAACTTTATGAAGGAATTAAGAGGACAAAACCTCTAATTTGCTAGCCTGTTAAATATTTAATGTTAGGAAGTCATGTCTAAGTCCTTTGATTATATTTTTAAATTTTATTTGTGGAAAGGCAGCCAGAGCCCAAATTCTACCATTTGGGAGTTTATGAATTCTTAAAGACTATTCATCTTGTAATTAAAAATCGTATTTGTGCATGAAACGGCCCGAGTGGCACCAGCAGATTATAAAAAGGCTAAAAGTGCCTGAGCACGGCTTTTGGCTGTTTGTATGAAATACACTTGTACAAACATTCCCACCCACCACCATCATTATGCGTGGTAAATAAGGTCTATCCTAATACCCGGTAGATTTAAACAGTTTAATAGAAATGACTTTCTGGTTTCTCTCTTCCTCTTTTTTTCCAGCTGATTCGATGTCATCAGTCCCGTGGTGGAGCCTGTGGAGACAACATTCAGTCTTATACTGCCACAGTCATTAGTGCTGCCAAAGTGAGTATCCAGTAGTCTCTAGGAGTTTTGATTGTGTGTAGTAATTATCAAGTTTCTCTGCTGAATTGGATAGAGATTTTCTCTTCCATTTTCATTCACAAGTGTAATAAACTTAAGAAGTAAGACAGACTTATTTTGTCACTCATGAGAATTGGTGACTAAATGATTAGGTTCTTAATTTCTTAAGGTTCATAAACAATACTTCATTCTCTATTGTAATGATTATAGGGTTTATAGTTACCTAATTTTAAATATTTAAGTCTGCCAGCTAGATTAAAGTCTTATATAATTAATTCCATTTTTGAAAAGCTATATCGTAAGTAGTAACTTCTGGACATTTTTGTGTGTGATTTGCATTATTCTACCTATACTAACATCCCTTTGTGTCTTTGAATGTGTATGAATCTTTTTGACATAAAAAAAATGGTATTCCTTAAGAAAACTCCAGTCCAATCCCTGACACATTGAAAGATTCTTGTCTGTCCCAGGGCTGCCCCCTCCACATTTGTCACATGAGTTCTTTTTGTGCGTGTGTGGTAGGGTTAATTTTGATGAAGGCTCGTAAACTTTATGCTGATTATAAGGCATTTTTATAATCACTATCCTTTTGAATTCTGAAGTATACAACAAAACAATTCTAATAATAGGGATGACATAGTGAACCTAAATGACAGCATGTAATAAAAAGCACAGCTATTCAGAAAAGAACAACAGTTTAAAGCAAACCACAGGGAGGGAATCATAGGTCACACTGTTTTTATGTAAAACAAATACAAAAATACTTCAAGATTGATCACAAATGTTTACATGATGTGCTTTAGAATGTGCTCCTTGGTTTGATGAGGAATTAAATATTTTTAATTCAAAAGCTAAATACTGAATGTCTTTAGGTTTTCAGCATTATGTATTTTGCATTTTGGAATCTTTGTAAAAATTGCTACTTCTCTCCATTGTGTATGCCAAAATCATGATGGTTATTTCACATGATGAGAAATCTGAGACAGCAAATAGGCAGCAGCAGTGTTAATCAGTTAGTTTATAATAGATCCATTTCTCGAATATTAGATTCTTTTTAGACTTACCTGTCATACACTTGCATCAGGATAGCTCATTGTATTGTCATATTGAATCATTTTCAGGTAAGTGATGGAGGATAGTTTTTCAGCTCTTTGCTGTAATTATGTTTTTGTGTGCCTACATAAAAGAATGATCTGCTTCATTCAGTAACTGTTAAGCTGTTTAACTGTTAGCTGACATTGGACTTGCTGGAATAAGACTAGTCTATATATGCTTTGAAAAGAACAAGGCTGAACTTCCTACTTTTTACACTCCAATATAGCAAACTATGAGGAAAATACATCTATCTTCAACATTTAAACTTCTAAAAATGACATCAATGAGGAGTCCCTCCAGTCAATTTCCAGTAGACAGTCTCCAGTGAAATTAGTATTGATTGAAATTCATTGTTAGCTCTGGCAATGTGTAAAATTCTTCCATTTGCACTTGAATAAAGTGGTTAATGTTTAATTTTTGTTAATTGCTTATGCTTGATTTTAATGCTCATTCATGTTCGTGTTTGTAAATTTATCAAATGTAGGAAAAATATAACTATGAACATGTCACCCATTTCTTTTATAATTTTTTAATTAAAATGTTTTTCAATTACAATTTACATTCAATATGATTTTGTATTACAGTAGACAGTCAGAGACAGTCAGATACTTTACAAAGTGTTCTTCTTGATACGTCCAGTACCCACCTGGCACTGCACATAGTTCACAATATTACTGTCACCATTTCTTAAAAGTCGTCACACAGTCAATTCAATCGTATATTGTACCCTGCTCCTTGAACCTACTAACTTAAATGTCATGAGATATTTTTGAAAACATTTTTCTTTTATTTATGTTAATCTGTGTACTTACAGACTTCTGCATTAGAGGGCATGAATATATTGAGATGAAAGAAAATACTGTCAAATTATTTTTCTAAAATCCTACCAGAAATAGAATGAGTCTCGATTTCACTTGGATTCTTTGTTTAGGAAAGATTGGAAAGTTGGGAATATTCCTACCCCCACCCCTGATGGTAATTTCTCTTAGTAAGTTATTGGATATTAGAAAGTTTGTGGATAAATTTGCCTTCTGAGGTATAAAGCAGTTGAAGTTTTATGTGGTAAATACATGAAAATTTCAAGTACTTTTCCAATTATAAATACATCCTTTTGTGTTTTTAATGATTACTTTATATATTATACTCCTATTATATTAGTGTGCATGTTTGTGAAAATACATTATGATGTACACTTATAATTCCAGTAGGTAGCAGTATAAGGGGGAGTTAAAATTTCCCAAGAAAAGAAAAATCTCACAGAGATATCTTCATACCCAGAAACCTCCAGAGAATTCTAACATTTGAGAATAAATAATAGCAATATTATAAATATTCTTCCTTAGAATAAAATAGTCTGATTACAACTAATCTTGTTTTATGATGCCAGATCACCTTGATACAAAAACTTGACAAGAACATTATGAGAAAGGAAAACTATGGTCCTGTCTTTACTCATGAACATACGTGTGAAAAATCATAAACAAAAACCTAGCAGAAAAAAGGGAACAATGTATGATAAGGATAATGTGGCATAATCCATTTGGGAAAATTTCACACTCTAAGACTGCTTTATTACTCAAAAATCAATTAGTATAATTTGCCATATTAACAGATTAAAGGAAAAAAGATATGATTATCTCAATATATGCACAAAACCAATTCAATAAAATCAAACATATACACTGATGAAATATTTTAGTAAATAGTGATAATTTCTGATTCTCTAGAATTACTTTTTTTTCTAAATATAAAATTGTTTAAATATACTAAACATGGTTATTTTTAAGTATGTTTCTGATAACTCCAGTATCTGGTTCTATTTTTGGGACCTGGCTACTTGTTTACCAGAGTTGATTTCAAAAATCTTTAGAAACAATTTTGAGATTGGGATGATACCAGAGTTCTGCAGCACTGTTAGTCCTGGACCTTCTTAATCTAGTTTCAGGGATTGAGATTACTTAAATTATTTAAATAAAACTCACCTGAAATAGCTCTGAGAGCCTGATTACTACAGGATCACTCATACATCTACTGTATATCCTTTTATGTTCCACCCCAAAGCTTGGAGTGGTGGTCACCAGGCTTGAGCACCTTGAACAAGGCCAAATAGTTCCCCAAGTCTATCAAAAACACTACTCATGCTCTTAGCAACACTCTCCATAATCATCAGATGCATGTAGGACTAAAATAACCTGCTCATATGTATGGGTTTCCTTGTTCTCTTGGATTTAGAGCTAGTAACTCTTCACTATCTTATTAAATATTCAATACCTTCAAACAGAGTTTTCAAAAAAATTCTCCTCAGTTTTACTCCTTGTTTTCATTGGGGGGATTAATTTGATTTACCTAGACTGTCATTGAAAACAGAAAATAAAATTCTTATTATTTCCTACCATTATTATCATTTCTATTTTTTTTGAGATATAACGTGGAAATCATTTTAAAAAGGCAGGTAGTATGTGCTCCTTAAGATATTTGTCTTAAAATAAATTCACAATCATTTCACGATTGCATCACTTTCTCTGAAAGAGTAATTAATATTTTTCTCTCTCTGATGACAGCTTCTTATGTCACTTCATAGAGGGTACTTAACCACTTTGTTATACAGAAGGATTAATTTTTAAATTTTTACTTTTTTTCTCTCACTATATGATCCTAAGTATAAATATGCTAATTGTACATGTACTTGGATCTTCTGCAGCAATACCCTCTTTCACCCCAATTTCTGGATTTTCAAGTAGCACTTAAAATTAATGTTCATACTTTTAGATTTTTCCCTTTGAGTTTCAAAATAACTAATTTGTCTTTCCTTAAGAATATAGCAGTGATGAATTCTCTGTGGTGGTGATAAAGGAAACATTTATTGAAATTATTCAAATTGGATTATTTTGATACATTTATAAAATCTTGTTTTATATTTTCTGGTTATAACTCTCCTCTTTGAGGTTTCCTTTTAGTGTGTTTTAATCCCAGTGTGATAAATTGATTTAATAAAAATGCCGCTATTTTCTCTTGTTATCTGATAACTTCTTAATGATAACTAACAGGTTTTGTGAGAGCAGCCCCATTAGCACTAATGGACAGGGAGGACAACTGATACGGCACGAGAAAGGTTAAAGATGACTAGTGACCCTTTGGCAAATCTGTCTGCAACAGAACAGAATAAGTACCATGCTGATTTGAATATTTGGCCATAGTGGCTTATCTCACATTTGTTACAAATTTAATTTTCAGTTTTCTTACAGATAGTTTTGTGACTGCTCTTAAGATTATTTACGTATATAATGAACTTTTTAATTTAGATAACTCTGGTTGTGAGGACAATCCTTCTAAATTAATACCTCCAATTGGCCTAATTAGATTTTTTATTTTTAACTTTTTCTTAGCCTCCACCCATTTTTGTATGTATTTGAGGAAATCATCAGGTATACACGTACCATATCTACTAAAATGTAGTGAAAAGGCTAAGTACATAGTGAACTGACTTAGATATGTAAATATGATATGTAAAAATAATTAAATAAAATGACACATTGCTTCTGGACACTAGTGCTCACTGATGTGACATGGAAACAAATTTCTCCTGGAAGCAAAGGTCTTTACTAATGTGGAAAGTGTCTAGCACACCTCTCTCACCTCCTGCATTAAACTTTATTTGGAAGTTAGTGAGCTATTATAGATAGTACTATCTTGTCACTACACGAAGTACAGATTTGATGGCTGTTAAATTTTAATAAGATGACCCCACTGGTGGTCATTATTTATTTTTTTTTTATGAGAAATAGCTATAACTCTCCATGTAATAGGAGCATTTGGCTAATATATATACTACCCTCCCCATACTGCTACCCCACACCCTGGCTTTTTTCTTCATTCTTTCATATAAACTTTCCCGTTCATATTGTGGTTTGCTTTGGTACATTGTTTCCCCTTTCTGTGTGCTCTAGTTATTTTAGTTTATTCCTATTCATTGGTATAAGAGCATGAAATAATAGGCCCAAGGGCAAATGGGGAAGATATACAAGCTAAGACTTTAAATCTGAAAGACATTTCTTTGATAAAGGGGTAGCTCCCTTTAAGTGGGAGCATCTCCATTAGCATTAATGGAGTAAGTACATCAGCTGAAGCATCTCAGAGGTTAATAAGGCTTCCTGGCCAGCTTCTGACATCAATACACTGTGGCGCCTGATTTTGTTGGTCTTTCAGAGGCTTTCTTGACAACAATCTAACAGACTCTGTGTAAGTCATTTCTTGTGAATTATTGAAACAAATGTTTGGCTGCTAATTGAGGAATGCTACTGTGTTTTATAATCATTGCAGTTTGAGTTTTTTAGCACTAAGCAAAACAGTTATAATTGATTTGTGGCTTTTTCCTGGTTTCAGTCAGCTGTAAGTTATATCTTTTTGCTTGAATTTAGCAAATGGCTTTGCTGGTCATTTATTTAAGTATTTATTAAGATACACTGTTTTGGTCTTCACCCCTCTCCCCTCTCCAGTATGTGTGTGTTCTGAATTCATGAGGTGTGAGATCACAAGTAGTAACAGGAATAGATTACAAGGAAATACTGATAGTGGTTAAAATCACGCTTCAGAAATAGATAGACCTAGTTTTAAAGATCTGGCTTTGTCATTGGCTAGCTGTTTGAGCTGCTGTTTTAATTAACTTCTGTGTAGCCTCAGTTTTTGTTAAATTGAGGTGTTTGAGGAAATCCATAGAGACCATGTATGTTTAGAGTCTTAACCAATCCCAAGTTCATAGTAAAGGTTCCATAGAACATAGCTACTGTAAAATAATGCATAATTTACTAGTGTTAATTATATGGTGTTTTAATGGAAAATTCCTGTGGAAAAAACATTTCCTTCCTAAAGTTCTAATCTAATTGTTTAAAACTCATTTATTTTCCCATAATTATTTTTAACAGTTACCTTACCAAAGATTAATTTGAAGTATTTTAATAAAAACTTTTTCTCACTGTGTGAGACTTGGAAAAATTATTTCTGAATGTGTGTCTGTTATATACATAGTTTTTGATATATCCATTTAACTAGACTACTTTTTTTGGCTCTAATAACTACATCTTTTTTCATTGTTTATCAATCACCTAGTTTTCTTTAGCTTTCTTCCATTCAGACAAAGAACCCCAAACATTAATTTAACATAACTGTTCATTAGTGCATATGAGTGTAATCAGATGAGATTCCCATAAAATGAAAAATACTGACATACAAGTTACTTTTCTCTATTTGCTTTAAATGAAATGGAGGTTAAGTGTAATTGTAAAGCATCTTAACTTAAATCTTTTATGGAAATTGTATATCAGAAGCACTGTATTGAATTGTTTTCTGTTTTCAGAGAGAAAAGAACCATCTTTGCTAATTTTACATGATATTTCATTCATCTGGTAATGAATATGTTGAATGGAGACTGTATTTTTCACATGCTAAATCTTGATGTATAATTTTATATAACAACATATTATAGATTATCATTGGAAATGTGGTCTTGTTTTCATATAGGGATTCTACCAACATTCCAGTCTTTTTCATGCTAAAAAATAGATTTAAAATTAGATTTATTATATTTCAAAAAATAGAATATCATAGTTTCTACTTCTTACTGTGTCACATTTTAACTTACATTAAAAAGAGAGGGAAAAATTTTTTATAGAAATAGAATTGTATCCTCGTGTGAAACAGATCTTTTAAATTATTTACCTATGGCTTGACTCTTGCCATGCTGACTTTGGGACTCAACTGATACCACCCACTCCAAGTGATACTGAATTTAAGGTCCCATGAAAGGTTGGACTAAATTTCGGTGACAGTTCACTGCTACACATAAGCTTGTAAGAAAATAAAGAATTGAATGCATAGGAGAATTTAACAAAAATGGGTATTTCTATTTAGAAACCAAATAGTGATACCAAGTTATTTATCAGTTTTATCTTTCATTGTTTAGACTCTGAAAACTGGCCTGACGATGGTTGGGAAAGTGGTGACTCAGCTGACAGGCACGCTGCCTGCAGGTGTGACGGAAGATGACGTTGCCGTCCACAGTAACTCTCGGCGGAGCCCTTTGGTCCCAGGCATCATCACAGTAATAGACACGGAAACGGTTGGAGAGGGCCAGGTAAGAACCTCTGACGCAAGTAGTGTCCACTTTCTCTAGAGGACGGGCTGACTGACTGTCATTCGGGGTCAAGATGAGCCAAAATGTACTTGGCCTTAAAGGTTGTTAATTTCTATATCTAGAAATTGAAGTTATTTTATGTTAGACTTTCCCTCCCAACAAAATGATGAGTAATATATTGAAACCTGTGGTTTCAGATTTTATTAATGTATCATACCTGGAGGTAAAATTGAGGTTCTAAGTGATTCTCTTGTTATCTCTTCATCAGGACGTTTGTTTCACAAATAAAAATAAATACTATTATGAAAAGAACAATAAAAAGAGATGTCTAATTATTTATTTGTTAATAAATAAATTTGTTAAGTAGTATTTGTTAGTATCTGAACCTAAATTGGAAGATTAATAATGTGTTTTTGAGGTAGATATTTATTCAAAGAAGTAATCAACAGGACCATATATATTCAGGGGAATCAAAAAAAAATTGACTACGATAGTTATAAGTGAATAATGTGAATACTATCAAATATTACAAATATGAAAAAATACATGAAATCTCGAAGTATATGTTAGAACACATACATGGTAATAGCTAATTGTAAAATTGGGTATCTTCAGATAAAACAGATATTTAAAATGTAGGTTCAGAAATGTGTAGAACGAGTGACTATAAACATGGAAAAAGACATGCTGGTATTTAAACGTTGTTCATAAGAAACCAGTTGGGTTTAGTGTTTTTTTCCTCGTGTACTCATAAATATGTATTCTTCGGGATCATAGTTTTGAATTTAAAATACATTTCTGAAAGGAAGGTAATTTTAAAATTCAGTTAGCTGTAATCATTACTATAAAAGATAATTTAGTATCTATTACTAGAATAAGATAGGAGTAGAGTAACATTTGTGAAATAAAAATTATTTTACTTTTACATAGAATATATACTGAGTTCTGTTTTCAGGATATAATGTTTAGAAACTATGTGACCCCTTAAAATATTAACCCTATTTTTTTTTTTTTTGGAAGAATCTGCTTCTAGCGTACGTATTACATCTTACTGAAAGATTACATTTGTCAGTCACTGAGGTGTTAAATGCTTTAGTAAGATCAAGTGGCATGTTCAAAAAAATCTGGAGTCTACTGCAATTAAAAGACAAAACAAATCTTTAAACATTTTGGTTTTTTAGTTTGGCCATTGTATTTTATTTGAAATTTGAATAATAATAGTTCTCCACCTTGCCCTTTTTAACTCTGTTGTTAACCAAATATGTACAGACTTGTATTTTTGTTTAATACTCTTGTCAGCGAAGTGCTGGCCAACTTACCTGTTGACCATAATGACTTTGTTTTTTTTTTTTTTTAAATATACAAATAGATTTTAAATTTCTAATTTTTTTTTTAAAGATTTTATTCATCCACTTTTAGGGAGGGAAGGGAGGGGGAGAATGAGAGAGAGAGAGAGAGAGAGAGAGAGAAAGAGAGAGAGAGAGAGAGAGAGAGAGAGAGAGAGAGAGACATCAATGTGCAGTTGCTGGGGGTTATGGCCTGCAACCCAGGAATGTACCCTGTCTGGGAATCGAACCTGGGACACTTTAGTTCCCAGCTCGTGCTCAATCCACTGAGCTACGCCAGCCAGGGCTATGACTTTGTTTTTAAGTTGTGTTAATTAGCTCAAGTTGATGAGCACATGCAGGAGCTATCTTTTTAAATTGGAATTAAATATATAAATCTTTTAGTGTTTTAGGAATGTTAAAGTAAAAATTTTCTTTTGTCCTTCGAATCTTAATTAATTCCCTTTGAGAGTAGTAACATTGACTGAGAGTAGTAACAGCCCTTGTCAGCGTTGTCTAGGTTGGTGAGTGTAAGTACATCTGTTAAACATCTAGCCTTTGTCGACAGACAGATTTGTGGTCATTTAAAAGTAGGAAGTGTTATCTCTCACTATCTTTGATGAAATAGAGATGTAACTCATTACTTTATTTTATTGTATTTAAGTACAGGAACATCTAAAAAGAAAAAAACTAATTTTATAAAAAGCATAGCAGTAGGCCTCATGTTTTCAAATGTGTTCTCCCACCCCCAGTTCTTCAGTAACTTTTTGTAATTTTGAAATGGAATTCTCAGATTTTGAATATGGGAATAGACTGTAGATTGTAAAGTTGCAGAAGTTAATTTTTCTGTTATAAATTCAGTGCAAAACTTAAAACATGTAAAGTTGTTTATTAGGAAATAAGAATCACAGAAATGTTAGCTTTTAAGTTAAATAGTGTTATTCAGCCTGAAATTTTGTATTTTCTATTATTTGTTGGGTGCATAATTTTCTACACATTCTTACTTCTAGCATAGTTTAAAATTTTAACTTGATTCAAAGTTCTGTTATCAGACAAAATAAATTGATGTTCAATATGTGGTAAGTTGTTATTTATAAATAAATGTTCTTTAAAGCAACAAGATTTCCTCTGTGTAATATTGTCCTCCTTTCTTTTATTAATGTGAATCTGTTTTTTGTCAGGAAGACATTTTTGTCTCTGACAAATAGTTCAGTTGGGGTACAGGGATATTTTCAGGTTATGCTGGATTGTATTTAAAAAACTGCTGTGGTTAATGCCATAGATTTATTACTTTCAGCCCTTTCCCATTGATGTTTGATCTTAGCTGTAATGGTTTTCCTTCTTCATATGTGTCACAGGAACTCAAGCTGACTTTAGGTTCAATTTCGCTGTTTAAATCCATTGAGCCTTTAATAAAGATATTTTCATGTTTACAGTGGTAGTATATCTATCTGATACTAAATTGATTAGTTTGATTTTTATGGTGCAGGATCATTGTGTGGTAACTGCATTAAGGGAGAATGGATTTAATTGACTATGTTTTTATCTGTGTTACTTTCATGTTTTATTTAAAAGCATTTCATGGCTAGGATATGTTAAGTGGAATAGTTTGCCTTTACACATTTATGTAGTTGAAGTTAGCAATGTGGCAGTCTCTAATCAAAGAAAAATGCTTCATAATGATGATATAAATGGAACTATCTCAACTTGAGTACATACGTTATTCATAATAATTTAACTGTTCCTTAGGTGTTTTGTCTCTTTGTTCATATGATAAAGGCTTATTCACCTTGTATCAGTTAAAGTTCTTTGCTTTGCTTTAATATAGTTGTGTTATTACTACATGTATTTAGGGGTTCAGCCTGCTTAGTTTAAGTGGCGAGTAAAACTTACATGTCTTAGGGCAGTTGTATTGGGGTAGCTTTGGTTTTAATGATTTGATGTTTTAGGCAAGGTGCTAAGACAATGGAGAGAATCCTTCTAAAAGTATCAGGTCATTATATTTGTGAAGCTCATAAAGAGACGATTCTAAGAATTCTGTGTAGGGCTTTGAGGTTTTGCTCTGCACCAAGATTAATGTGCCTTTTGCTGGATGGTTTCTGTGCTAATGCCATTGATTACAGACGTGATTGTCAACCTTTTTCTTCTCATGGCACACATAAATTAATTATTAAAATTCTGTGGCATGTTAAAAAATTTGCAATAAAGAGAGTCACATGAATTTTTTGGTTTCCCAGTACATAGAAAAGTTGTGTTTATACTGTACGTAGTTGGCTAAGTGTACATTAGTATTATATCTACAAAACAATGTACATATGTACATTTAAAAATATTTTATTGCTAAAAAATGCAATATCTGCATGGCACAATAAAGTGAAGTACAATAAAATGAGGTATGCCTATATTTGGGGACTCTGGAAATTGACCAAAAAGCTAAGAATGAAATGATAAACATGTGTTCATGAAAACATGCTAGAACTATAATAACATTAAAGATAATTGCTTAACACAAAAGAGGATCAAAGGAACAAGAAATACCTGGAACATATAAAAATAAATAGCAAAATGGCACATCAAAATCCAGTTATGTGCATAGTTACATTAACTATAACTGGTCTCATGTTAAATGACAGTGATTATCAGGAGTGATGGAGTGTAAACTATAGTATTGCATAGAGAGAAATTAATACTCTAAATGCACATAATAGGGAAGAAAATGGTCTGAAATTAATCTTACCTTATTCCTTAAGAAATTAGAAAATGAAGAAGAAATTATACCCAAAGCAAGAGAAATGAAGCAAATAATAAAGATATGAATAGTAATAAACAAAATTGCAAACAGTAAAATAATAGAGAAAATCCAAATTTGGTTCTTTGAAAAGATCAATAAAATCAATAATTATGATGGTATAGCAAATGGAATTGTTTTCTTAATTTCCTTTTTGGATTGGTTACTGTTAGTATAATTGAATTCAGCAAAGTTGTAGGATACAAAACTAACATTTATTTATTAGTTCTAATAAACTAATAGTGAAAAGGCAATCTGTAGACTGGGCGAAAATAGTTGTAAATCATATATTGATGAGTTAATGTATAGTATATGTAAAAATTTCTACAACTCAAAAACAACAAAAAATAACCTCATTGACAAATAGAACTTGACAGTTCTCTGAAAAAGATACGATATGAAAAGATGCTCAGTATCACTGATCAAACTACTAATCACACCACAATGAGATATTACTTCACACCTATCAGGATGAACAATAATGAAATAACAGAAAATAAATGTTGTTAAGGATGTGGAGAAGTTTGAACCCTTGTGAAGTGCTAGGCAGCAATTATGGAAACCAGTATGAAAGTTGTTCAGAAATTTAAAAATTGAATTACCATATGTTCTAGAAATCTCATTTCTGGGTTTATATGTGAAATAGTTACAAGCAGGATCTCAAAGATGAATTTACACACCCATGATCATTGCAGTTTTATTTACAGTAGTCAGGAGGTAAAAATAATCCAAATGTTCAACAGTAGCTGAATGGATGAAGGAAAATATTATACATACATACAATGTAATAATTTTATAGTCTTAAAAAAGATGTAAATTTTGTCACGTGTTACAACATAGTTGAACTTGGAGGATGTTGTTGTAATGGTTATAGTATTGTATAAAATTATTGTAAAAATAAAGTAGGTGATTTTTCTTGTATGTAAATTATACCAGGAAAACTTTTCACACTACTAGAAAATTTACCTTTGCCAGTGTAGGACCACTTCCTGGGTTACAGATTAAATTCTTTGTCTGATTATCTTGATCATATATGAGTATAGTAGGATTTCACTTTGGATGTTATTTATGTTAAACTTTTTTAGTTAATTACTTGCCTTGTAAAATAAATACATATTTTTCCTAAGAATCATTGAACAGTACACTCACAATTAGGCAAATTATATTTTAACATGCTTATCAAAAAATTAAGTGGAATAAATTCAAGGTGCAAAACTATCTGCTTTATCATACTTCTGACTTTATGACTTGGTAATATTTTCAAAGAGGTGATTTGTCTATCCTAAAAACTAGGTGTTAAAAACTAGAACTTCTTACTTTAAATAAAAACTTTATGGGTAATTCCTCTGACCTATAGCTGTTTGTTGATGTTTAACCTGTTCTGTTGTTTTTCCTTGTTTTATTCCCATCACAGGCATGACTTTTTCAGCAGGTCTTAACACAGTAAGAACTGTGCTTCTGTTATTGGATAAAGCTCTACATAGCTGATTCTTTGATTTTTTGTTGTTGTTGTTGTTGTTTGCTGAATGTACACTTGAAGAAATTATCATCTCTGTTACCTGTAGTGAAGTTAACCAACTGTTCTTAGAGTTTATGTGATTGGTCTGCTGGGGTCCTGTTATGTCTTTTCCTCATTCCTAAAGTGGCATCTCACCTTACTGACAAGAATAATCTGCGGATATCGTGGAAGCATGTCATTTGGTCAGGGTCACTGTGGTATAGCTGTGTATATCTTCAGCCTCAGTAATTGGTGATTAGAGGTTAACTTTCATTTGCCTTCTTTTTTGTAAAGGTGCTTGTGAGTGAAGATTCTGACAGTGATGGCATTGTGGCCCACTTCCCGGCTCACGAAAAACCAGTGTGCTGTATGGCTTTCAACACAAGTGGTATGTCTCCCCTCTCCCCATGCTCCTGCCCTCACTTTATATCATGGATTTTCTTTTTTTACATTTGCATTTTTTAAAAATTATTTTATTGTTGTTCAATTACAGTTATCTGCATTTTCCCCCTACCACTCCCCCCCCCACCCCAGCCAAACCCACCTCCCTTTCTTGCTTCTACCCTCCCCCTTGGTTTTGTCCTTTACAGTAGTCCCTGAAAACCCTTCTCCCCTTTGTTCCCCCCCCCCCCGGGTTATTGTTAGATTGTTCTTAATTTCAATGTCTCTGGTTATATTTTGTTTGCATTTTTCTTTTGTTGATTATGTTCCAGTTAAAGGTGAAATCATATGGTATTTGTCCCTTACCGCCTGGCTTATTTCATGTAGTATAATGCTCTCCAGTTCCATCCATACTGTTGCAAAGGGTAGAAGCTCCTTTTTTCTCTCTGCTGTGTAGAATTCCATTGTGTAAATGTCCCATCGTTTTTTGATCCACTCATTTGCTGATGGGCACTTAGGTTGCTTCCAGCACTTGGCTATTGTAAATTGTGCTGTTATGAACATTGGGATGCATAGGTTCTTTTGGATTGGTGTTTCAGGGCTCTTAGGGTATAATCCCAGCAGTGGAATTGCTGGGTCAAAAGGCAGTTTCATTTTTAATTTTCTGAGGGAATTCCATACTGTTTTCCACAGTGGCTGCACCAGTCTGCATTCCCACCAACAGTGTACTAGGGTTCCCTTTTCTCCACAATCTCTCCAACACTTGTTTGTTGATTTGTTTATGCTGGCCATCCCTGACCTGCTTGAAATGGTATCTCATTGTGGTTTAATTTGCATCTCTTTGATAGCTAGTGATGCTGAGCATCTTTTCATGTCTCTGGGCCCTCTGTATGTCCTCCTTGGAGAAGTGTCTGTTCAAGTCTTTTGCCCATTTTTTTAATTGGGTTGCTTGTCTTCTTAGAGTGGAGTCATGTGAGTTCTTTATATATTTTGGAGATCAAACTCTTCTCTGAGGTATCATTGGCAAATATGTTTTCCCGCATAGTTGGTTCTCTTTTCATTTTAATGCTGTTTTCGTTAGCCGTGCAGAAGTTTTTTAGTTTGATAAGATCCCATTTGTTTATTCTTTCCTTTATGTGCCTTGCTTTAGGGGTCACGTCCATGAATATACTGCTGCGTGGAATGTCTGAGATTTTCCTGCTGATGTTTTCCTCTAGGACTTTCATGGTGTAATGACTTATATTTCAGTCTTTTATCCACCTTGAATTTATTTTTGTGTAGGTGTAAGTTGGCGATTGAGTTTCATTTTTTTGCATGTAGTTGTCCAGCTCTCCCAACACCATTTGTTGAAGAGACTATTTTTACTCCATTTTATGCTTCTTCCCCCTTTGTTGAATATTAATTGACCATAGAGACTTGGGTTTATTTCTGGGCTCTCTGTTCTGTTCCATTGGTCTATGTGCCTGTTCTTATGCCAGTACCAGGCTGTTTTGATTACAGTGGTCTTGTAATATAGTTTGATACCAGGTATTGTGATCCCTCCTACTTTGTTCTTCTTTATTTTTTTTTATTTTAATTATTGTTCAAATACAGTTTTGTCCTTTTTACTCCCAATCCAGTCCCCCCTCCACCCTCCCCATTTCCCTCCCATTACCACCCTCCCCTTAGTTTATGACCATGTGTCCTTTAAGATTGTTCCTGTGAACCCTTCCCACTGTCCCCTTAAATTCCCCCTTCTCTCCTCTCCGGTCACCATCAGCCTGTCCTCTATTTCAGTGTCTTTGGTTATATTTTGCTTGTTTCTTTGTTTTGTTATTTAGGTTCCTGTTAAAGGTGAGATCATATGGTATTTGTCTTTCACTGACTGGCTTGTTTCGCTAAGCATAATGTTTTCCAGCTCCATCCACACTGTTGCAAAGGGTAGGAGCTCCTTCTTTCTTTCTGCTGTATAGAATTCCATTGTGTAAATGTACCATAGTTTTTTGATCCATTCATTTACTGATGGGCATCTTGGTTGCTTCCAGCATCTAGCTATTGTAAATTGTGCTGCTATGAACATTGGGATGCATAGGTTCTTTTGAATTGGTGTTTTAGTATTCTTAGGATAGAGTCCCAGCAGTGGAATTGCTGGGTCGAAAAGGCAGATCCATTTTTTAGTTTTCTGAGGAAGTTCCATACTGCTTTCCATAGTGGTTGTACCAGTCTGCAGTCCCACCAGCAGTGCACTAGGGTCCCCTTTTCTCCACAACCTCTCCAACACTTGTTGTTTGTTGCTTTGTTTATGATGGCCATTCTGTCTGGTGTGAAGTGGTATCTCATTGTGGTTTTAATTTGCATCTCTCTGATAGCTAGCGATATTGAACATCGTTTCATGTGTCTTTGGATTTTCTGTATGTCCTCCTTGGAGAAGTGTCTGTTCAAGTCCTTTGCCCACTTTTTTAATTGGATTCCTTGTCTTCTTAGAGTGCAGTCTTGTAAGTTCTTTATATATTTTGGAGATTAAACCCTTGTCTGAGGTATCATTGGCAAATATGTTTTCCCATACAGTTGGTTCTCTTTTAATTTTGATACTGTTTTCTTTAGCTGTGCAGAAGCTTTTAATTTTGATGAGGTCCCATTTGTTTATTCTTTCCTTTATGTTTCTTGCTCTAGGGGACACGTCAGTAAAAAAGTTTCTGTGTGAAATATCTGAGATTTTCCTACCTACGTTCTCCTCTAGGACTTTAATGGTGTCACATTTTATATTTAAGTCTTTTATCCACCTTGAATTTATGTTTGTATATGGTGTAAGTTGGTGCTTAAGTTTCATTTTTTTTCACGTGGCTGTCCAGTTCTCCCAACACCATTTGTTGAAGAGGCTATTTTTATTCCATTTAATGTTGCTGCCTCCTTTGTCAAATATTAATTGACCATAGAGACTTGGGCTTATTTCTGGGCTTTCTGTTCTGTTCCATTGGTCTATGTGCCTGTTTTTATGCCAGTACCAGGCTGTTTTGATTACAGTGGTCTTGTAATATAGTTTGATATCAGGTATTGTGATCCCTCCTACTTTGTTCTTCTTTCTTAAAATTGCTACAGCTATTCGGGGTTGTTTATGGTTCTATATAAACTTCTGAAATGTTTGTTCTATATCTGCAAAATATGTCATTGGTGCTTTAATAGGGATTGTGTTGAATCTATAAATTGCTTTGGGTAGGGTAGACATTTTGATGATGTTAGTTCTTCCAATCCACGAACATGGTTCATGCTTCCATTTGTTTGTGTCTTCCTTAATTTCTTTCTTTAGTGTTGTATAGTTTTCTGAGTACAGGTCTTTTACCTCCTTGGTTAGGTTTATTCCTAGGTACTTTATTTTTCTTGTTGCTATATCAAATGTGATTATTTTCCTGATTTCTGCTTGTGATATTTCATTGTTGGTGTACAAAAATGCCTTTGATTTCTGGATATTGACTTTGTATCCCTCTGTTTTTCCAAATTCACTTATTAGGTCAAGTAGTTTTTTGGTGGAGTTTATAGGATTTTCTATGTACACTATTGTGTCATCTGCAAACAATGACAGTTTTGCTTCCTCCTTTGCAATTTGGATGCCTTTTATTTCTTTTTCTTGTCTGATTGCTGTGGCTAGGACTTCCAATACTATGTTGAATAGGAGTGGTGAAAGCAGGCATCCTTGTCTTGTTCCTGATCTTAGTGGGAAAGTTGTAAGTTTTTGCCCATTGAGTATGATGTTGGCTGTAGGTCTCTCATATATGGCCTTATTATGTTGAGGAATGCTCCCTCTATTTCCACATTGCTGAGTGTTTTTATCATAATGAGTGCTGTACCTTATCAGATGCTTTTTCTGCATCTGTTGATCTGATCATGTGATTTTTGTGTTTCATTTTGTTTATGTGATGTATTACATTATTGATCTGTGAATATTGTACCACCCTTGTGTCCCTGGGATGAATCCTACTTGCTCATGGTGTATGATCTTTTTAACGTATTGCTGGATGCAGTTTGCCAATATTTTGTTGAGGTTTTTAGCATCCATGTTCATCAGCAATGTTGGCCTGAAGTTTTCTTTCTTTGTTATGTCTTTATCTGGTTTTGGGATTAGGATGATGCTGGCTTCATAAAAAGAGTTTCATCTTGAATTTTTTGGAATAATTTTTGAAGGGTAAGGGTTAGCTCTTCCTTCAGTGCTTTGTAAAATTTTCCTGTGAAACTGTCTGGTCAAGGGCTTTTGTGTGTCAGAAGCTTTTTGATTACTGCTTCAGTTTCATCTGTTATTGGTCTGTCAGGCTTTCTGCTTCTTCTTCATTCAGTTTTGGAAGATTTTATTTTTCTAGGAATTTGTCTACTTCACCTAGGTTTTCAAATTTCTTGGCATATAGTTCTTCGTAGTAATTTCTTACAGACCTTTGTATTGCTGTGGTATCATTTGTAATCTCTCTTTAATTTCTGATTGTGTTTATTTGGGTCCTCATATATCATGGGTTTTCAATTTGATATTTTTGGAAAAGGAAAATACGAAATATGGAGTCTTGCTTTTCTTTTATGTGTCAGTGAATATCAAAAAAGGAGTCATCAGTAACTGGTTATTGAATGAATGAATTTAGAAAGCCTTTAAATATTAGCCTTACTCTCAATAATGTGAAAACAGCAGGAGGTAAACAGTGCTTTTTGAGTTGCATTAATTTCTGTATTACAATTAAGTGAAGAACTTCAGTATTTCAATTAACATAGTAAGGTATGTGAATGGAATTTTTCTTGTAATGTCAAATTTCTTTTGAACTTTGTAACATTTTATAAACTAGTTTACTTGTATTTTTTTCCTTCTTTTGTGGTTTTTTTCTTTCTGGTTCTTCTTAAAGCTTTTGATAAGCAGAGATATTATAACAATGAGGAATGTCCTATTACATTTTTTCCCAAACTTTTTATTACTAACAGTTTCAAACATTAAAATTGATTTAAAAGATAGTAATGACCCATGTACCACCACCTTCATTAAACACGTGTTCACAT